CATTTTGGAGTTCACTTAGAGGCCACATAAAGTTCACTTTACTTATCACAACACCCACTCTGAGACAATTATAGCATTACAAACTTGAGAATGTGTGGGAAGTCTAAAATTTCACTTCCGTCCAACAAATATTTTCTCCATGTCACGTTCACTTCTACTGAAACCCAAACTACAGGTACATTTAAGTATGCATTTCCTGTTTCACTTCCATATTCAGCAGCTCCCACAAGTCAGAGTGCACCTTTGCCTAACTTAGACCGAGTGGATGTGCATTATCATATTACCTGACTACAAACTGCAGCGTTACTCTCACTGTTTACACTTTGTGATTGGTCTGAATAATACTTGTTTACGTGCATCAGAAACATGGATCTTAACCATAACACTGTCACAATGCATTATAGATAAAAGTTAGATTTAAAGCTTTATTGACACTTTTTCGCCTTGATCACATTCATATGGTTACAGACATTCACACCTGGAAGTCGCCCACTATAACCACAGTTACATCCTCTGGATGCCGAGCAGCTACACTGGAGCTACTGGTGCTGTTATTTCACTTTCCCCAGCTTAAAAGCCAATTTCTCTAACTGTTAAGCTCCACTGCTTTTTGGAGTTTTATCCATTCTAGAGTCTAAAAGTTTTCTGGCCTCTGAGGCATTGTTATTTACTGTCTCTCTTGCAAACTTTGTGAAAATGCCACTAAATCCCTGGAATACCTGTTTTATAGTTAACCTTACCTTATTTAACCGTAGTTAATTTCTATGTAGATTCAGCAATTTCAGGCTTACTGTATGTTAATGTCAGCAAACCTTATGCTGGTATACAACCCTCTAGGAAGAAAAGTAAAGACTGTCCAGCAGCAAAAACATTTGAGTTCAAAGTCTGACTGAAAAGGAAATATTAAAAAGTTTGACCCTTGTTCACCATTTTAGTTGAGATTCACCCCTAAACCTTAAAGAGTCTCTTGCTTTGCCAATATTTCTGAACATGAAAGGACCAAAATGTCTGCCACTTCATGATTCCAGTAAATCTCTGATGTGCATCACGAAGCGCTTCGATCTCTGCTTTGTCCTAGGTTAAAAATCTTTTGAAGTGTTTCTCTTCAGGTTCTTTCATGTCTATGCGTCCTTCACTGAAAACCCAAGTCCCTGTATGCTTCTCTCACTCTGGACTCCCTTTTGGTGAGTGTTAAATAAACATGGCCTGGGATCACATAACCTCAGCTGTGTGAATCTACCTTACAAATTGCACCGCAGTATTTTACCTCACATCACACCGGTGCTGTGAGGCACACTTAAGCCAGCGAGGTGAACCAAAACTCGCCGGCCATAATAGCTGCCGGTTTCCTTGGCAACTGTTACTTGTCTTGAATTAATGCCAGGTTTTCACTAGTCCTCAGTTATCTGAATTTCACCTAGGTGTTTCTTGAAGGGAAGGGAATACAGACGCTAATGAGAAAACACTTTCCAACAGGGATCTACTGCATGACGGTGGCTGGCATCATCTCTCCAGACGTGCTCCCCCGCAGGCATGAAATGATACTGTTGAAACTGCAGAAGGAGCTTAATGTACCTCCAGTGATGGCTGACTTACATCAAGATTAATAAAAAAAAAAACTTGGAAAAATGAGAGACCTGCAATATATTAAATTGACTGTTTTTATTAATTAGTTTAGAGAGAGTAGTGGATGAAAATAAATGTACTGCTTTAAAATCCATCAGCGACGCAGCCTGAGAGAACAGAAAACATTTGTCTTCCTTCATATCATTAAACTTTTCAACTCTTTTCCAGCTGTGAACTGCAAGGTGCCAACTATCGCTAGAGAGCACTGTGGCTCTTTCTGTATATGTCCTGCCATGTTTGAACATAGCCATAATGAAGATTTATGTAAAATTCACCCATGTCTGGATGACTAAATCACTTTAACAGCTGGATGAAGCCAGCAAAGTAACGTGTTTCCTGTCTGAAAGGGGCTTATAGTCCTGTGCATCAGGCTGTGTATTGGCATTTAGCAGTTGTGTGTTGGTGAGAGTGTGGGTAGGTGTGAAAGAGGGAGGGAGGTGAGGCTTCTACACTGCAGTGAAAAGCCGTTAGGAAAATGTTACAGAGAATATGTCACTGTTCATTTGCTTTGTGTGGGTGTCAGTGATAGACATTTGTTGCTTCGTTGCTAATAACACCTCCTACGAGCTCGGAGCCAGCGCGGCGTTTGATACAGAGAATGAACGTGTCAGTCGACTGCATCAAACATTCATGAGATTATAAAGACTTTTTACAATGGTAAATGTCACGCAGTGATTGCGGAAGACGTGATGATGGGGTGTCGCTAATCACACAGCAACATAATGTTCATCCGTCAGAGTTGTTTCTAGGGTTAGACAAATATATCATACTGACTATATAACAATATTTTCTTTTTCCCCTCAGTGAGAGTTTCCATCCAGGTAGCTCTGGTGTGCGACTGAGATTTGGAGATATTGTATGCAACTCTGAACACTGCTCGATGGAATTTCTGGTTTGTGTCAGATTTTTATCAGAAGATGGAGTTTGCTCAGTTGTTAGGGATCTGTTGACGTGGAAGCTTAGGCTTGTGAACTATTTATCAGAACTAAGGTGTAATAAAAAGAATCTCTAGAAATTTCTATCTAATCTAAAATTCCCTACTGTGCATTAAGAGATGGTTCTGGTGGAGCGGCATGTCCTCCCGCTGAGCCCCATTACTCAGCACGAGTGACGAGTGAATTTTAAATCCTTAATTACAAACCAGTTTGCTGTCTGTTCCCATGAATCTGACACACTGTTCTCCACATGCCTGCTCGCCAAAGCTTTGCTCTATGCTCCATAAGAGTGGTTAATGGTATAGATGTGATTTGGATTGTGATATTGAAGATTAGATAATGTTAAATGAAAAATGATGCAGTGATACTGTTGCACCAAGCACAGACACACCGACACACTGATTTAATAGCAAATACATTGCTATCAAATACATTTTATAAATATGTGCAAATACACAGATACTCCCTGTCCCCCGCCGATTTGATCACCTATATTGGCAATCTTAAGTAACCACAAAGGAGGGAGAGACGCAACAGACGTCCCCAGTTGAACTCGAACCGGCGACGTTGTGGTTTATGATTGGATTCTTGACCTGATCCCAATTCAAGATCCACTTAGCTTTATTTTAATTAACTGGACCTTGAGTTAGGTTAGCTTTAAAGAAAAAAAAAAAGTGCTACAACTTGAATTACATTATAACAGCTACTGAGCCTGCATCTCCACAGAACCTAAGCTCAGAAAAAAAGTGTTAAATGGATGTAGAGTTAGGATTAGTTATTCTAAATAATTATGAAAAACAGTTGTTGTAGTCCTTATATCACAATAATCCAGATGCCACTGTAAACTGGCAGTTTCTGCACACTGAGATCTCTGTTTCTGTCATTATACTTGTGTTTTTGAACCCTTTGAAGACCATGATTTGAAAACTCACTGCCAGATAACAATACTTACGGGCAATTTTTGCAGTTTTTTCCTCGGACATTCAGTGATTAATACTTTAAATGTCTGTTGGAAGAAGGCTACCACTGTGGCTTACCACAGGCTGAAGTGAAGAGACGCCCACATCCATCCAGCCTAAACAGAGCTCCACTCTGATCTACGCTCCAGTCACAAGGGTTTTTTCACTTGTCTTATAGATTTTATAGACTAAGTCAAAGTTATGTTTTCTAACAAAGGCAGAGGGACTCCCTGTAACATGTTGTTGTAGAAATGACAAGCTCCGCAAGTCCCAAAGGTCTGCTGCAAACCAGCCTGTATTCATCAAAACAGGCCTGACAGATCACTGCGTTTATCATGCTAAATATCCATGCATGCACTGCTGCTGTTAATAAACAGATGGCCTTTGCTTAGGCATTCTAGATACTGATGAACCCAAAGATAATAATAAATTCCTCAGGACTTTCTAATCAAAGATAGGACAAAACTACAGCCTCGCTCTGCAGAAATATTGTGCACGAACCAACAATTTCCACATGATTTCCATTCTTCGCCTTGCATCAGTTGGTGGGCTCACTGAGCAGTGGTCTGCTCTGTAAGATTAGACCGAGAGCCCCCGAGTGTTGGTGACAAACTGGAAACTAAAAGGCCAACAACATATGGCGCAGGGGCTTATGGGATTACCCAATTAACAAGGTGACTCAGAGAGCTGCTAATCTGCAAAATGTTCCGATGGAGTATACGGACACAGACTGTGACGCATTGATGGGTAGCCGCATCTTTTGACCATCCACGACCCAATTAAACACACACACCTCCTCATGTGTGTTTGGCTAAGCGGTCAGCTCTAATTGTATTACATGTAGAGCCGCGCGCGCTGGTGCTTCCTGGGTGTCTGGGTGCTCCGGCAAACCGTCACCTACTCGGGCAAAAGCTGTGTGTGTAAACCGGCCATGTTGTCAACAAGGGGTTCATTAATTGTCATTATGATGACACAGAGTGCGCCGCGGGCAGAAACAACACCTCCAAGTGCGTGTGTCAGCTCCGCGCGCAAATCGGAGCGCACGGAGACGCGACGTGACGCACAAATGGGCTACAAATCCGCGTGAGGACACCTTTCCGTCAGTTAAAAAGGGCGCTGTTGATTCACAATCATTAATGAGAACTCATGTTTACATGCAGAGTTTTGGCGCAGGAGAAAGTGCCAACTGGGAGAGGACCAGTAAACGCGCTGGTTTGAACTGGATACAGTTGAGCTTGACTTCGTGATATTCCCGAAACCAAGCAGTCCCATAGGACAGGCACATAAGATCCACTCTCTGAATGACTTCAGAGACCTACATGCCGAGACAGATGATAGCATACTCAGTTAAACAAGTTAATACAGTCAGAGCAGTCCAGTGTTCCCACAGTGTTACCATCTGCAGTCCCCGGAGATAACGCCACATTCACCGGGGACTGCCTTTATCCGTTTCACTGTGAGACTGTGTGAGGATGCTTACCTTGTGGGAACGCGTTGGGTTGCACGACATGCAGAAACCCGTGCACCATGTGGAACAGGATCCCTATCGGCCCCGGTTCGTAATGAGCCAGTGTCTCGTAAACTCCCGCAGGCACATAACCGAAATCCAACTTTCCCGGGGGTGGGAGTCTCCGCGTCCCCGTCTCTTGCTGGAGTTCGCCGGACGCCAACAGCACCCACAGCAGCAGCAGGGTCCCGGTCTTCCACATCGCGCTTGAGTGAAAGGCCGACTGTCCGTCAAACTGGGGGTTAAATAGCTCACCCGAAGAGAAATGGAAGCAGGAGTATGACTGCCTGGACTCTTATCTTCCTTATCAAACGGGGGGCTGAGGGGGGAGATATAAGGGGAAGGGGCGAGAGTAAATGTAAAAAGTGTCCAGATGGATGGAGCGCAGCTTTTTAAGTCCTGCTGCCCGCGGAGAGACTTGTTGTGAGCATGGTTCACCGCGGTCTGGGGCTCCTGACGGACGCAAACCGGGTGATCTTCTCTCCCGTCTCCGGTCTTCGATGCGTTCAGTCCCACCGAGATGAGCGCGCCTGTCGCTTCCACTCCAGCATCTGTGCGCACGGGGATGCGCTGCGTCACGGAGCGGGCGGGGTGCGCGCCTCCGTCACAGCTAGGGAGGACCGGTCCAGAGGGAAGCGCTCCTCCTGCCGGGGAGAGGAAGATGGAGTTTAGAGAATAGGAACATCTTGTGTTTTAATATATCTGATGTCTCTGAAGGGTCCATACAGGCAGAGGAAGAAATCTTAGAATGGAAATATGCAGTGGTGGAAATCTTTAGCTACTGAACATAAGGAGGCTACAATGTTGAGGTACTTGCAAATAATGCAGCATAAGTATTCAGATCTTGTACTTAAGCAGCAATAACACACTGTAAAATACTCGGTAGCAAGCAAGTAAGTACTCGTTATGCAGACACTGTGGGTGTAATATTATCATGTTATCTTTGGATTAGTGTCACTGATGCATTAACACGTGAGCAGCGTTTTAATGTTTTAGGTTTTAGGTTTTATTTATTTTGCACAGATTAGAATTACATTAAAAAAAAACGACAAAGATAACAAATAATGTAAAGGTGCAGGGGGAGAGGGCAGGAACACCCAGATGGGCTTATTTTAAAGCATCCACCTAAAAGTTCATGTTATAGGGAACAGAAATTGACATTACAGAGAGTATTATAAGCTACATAAAGTACATAACAACTGATAATAGAAAAAAAAAGTCTAACATTCAACAAGTTATAAGACAACAAAGTAACAATATGAAAACAAAAATATGAACATGATATAAAAGTGTGTTTGTGTGTGAATTAGAAGATGTTGCAGTGCAGATCATTTTAATTGTACTTATTGTTCATCTATGTGCATGTATAGTATTTTTATAAGCTGATTTTATACGTACAATTTAAACCTGCAGAGTAACCAGCAACCACAGCTGTCAGATAAATGCAGCGGAGATTCATTCTTTGCTTCTTCACAAGCTTTACTGTGTTTCACCTCACAGCAGTCAGCTTTCCATCTGTCCTGCCAACAGGTGCTCTCTGTCTTCTCGACCTCTGACCCCTTCTCCACCCAGAGGGCAGACAGAGGATACCCGAGGTGCAGCGCAGAGGGGTGATGTGATTGGTCGAGTGGCGATCAGGTGTGCTCCGCTTCTGTCTTCTTGCACAATAACATCCTTGTCCCCACTCTCTCTCCGGAGCACAAGGGGCCCCCCTGGCTCCTGGAGACAAGGGGGACTCCTGTTTGGAAACCTTTGATCAGCCATTCTGAGCACCTTTCTTCACTGATCACACACACTCATTAGGCCTGCAGAGAAGCATATGGGACTTTTAGCTGTACAGACACTTTCAGGACAGAATGTGATTGGCTGAGTGTTTTCCTGGGATGGTTGATATTTTGGCTTTAAAGAACTCTGATAGCCTATGTGTAAGCATACAAATGCAAAATCAGTGTCAGTGTTCCCTCCTCATACTGCTTAAAAAATCAGAACTTCAGGGATTCATTTCCCCCTCTTCTTAATTAATCATCTTGTGTATGCTGCTGTTATTGCACCTTCATCCTTCTTGTTTATTTTATGTCTCCCTTTTTGCTGGGTCCTTTTGTTTTCTTTTCAAAGTGAGAACTTTCTAAGCCCTGCATCAGAATTATCATCATATCATATCTCATTATCATATCTCAAAAGCTCTGACATACTGCACTCCCTCCGAGTACCTTGTATTGACACAACTTCCTGGAAGCGGTGAGGGCGCCGAGGCTCGTCTCAGTCTTCTTCAGCAGTATAAGGAGCTTAGCCCTCTAAGAATGTCTGCTGCGGATTTACTGTACCTGATCTCACCTTCTCAACAGATACGGCTCGGCCTCCGGACGAGTGAGGTCATCAGTGATGTAAACCTCAGCTTACTTGCAGTAAGAAAACACAAACAAACTCATTTTTGCTTTCCTGTTATCAGCATCATGAGCTGTAGTCCTGTATGCTTCCAACAGCAGGAAATACAGAGATTCATAACTCATAGTCTGACACAACAACGACAACTAAGGTGTCCACTTACTAGCTTTTTCTGAGCTTTTAACTGTATCACACAGTGTTCATCAGGGGATGGAGTTTGCTCCGTTGTAATGCAGATGGACCTGTTTATATGCTAGCTCAGCAGCAGTTATGATTTAATCCCGTCAGCATGTTTAGGATGTCGCGTCCGTGTCGCATTAAAAAACACACGTGAAGGTCATTCCTGCTCTTGGAAAGAAAAACAGTCCCAACTCGAGATCTTTTAACCATATCACACAGACCACATGATGCACTCTTCATTGGGTACACCTTTCTAATACTGGGTAGGACACCGCCTTTGTCCCAGAACATTCGTCAAGGCGTAGATTCAACAAGGTCGTGGAAATATTCCTTTAGATCAAGTTTCTTCCCCATTATGACGTTTGGTTGAAATATCTGCTTGCTTTAATGCATTGAGTCGCTGCCACATGATCAGCTGATGAGATATTTGCACTGATGTTCAGGTGAACCTAATAATAATAAATAAAAATAATTTTACATGTGATGAAGCTGCATAGTCTTAAGCAGTAACAACATTTTTGAAGCGTCAAATTCCAATTTTATATGACCAAGAAAATTCGATTGAATTCTCCTCTACGTGCATGGAGATGGGTCAAATGAGAGTAACTGACTGATCCCAGAAACTGCAGCTGACGTGACAAAGTAAATTAGACTTACTGACAGTTGCTGAGTGAAAGTTGAGTCGCAGTTTCACATCCATAGGAAGTTGTCTCATTGTGACTGCGAATCAGGATATTTCCAAATAAATCTAAACAAAGAGAGGAGACTGCAACAGGGAGGATAGACACGTGTGTGGGACATCTTCAAAAAGACAAAAGCAAAGATAAACGTAGCTCTAGAAACTGATTCTACTGCATTTTCTTACAAATAAACAACACATGTAAGAAACCAACTTTTATTCATCCAAAAGGGGGCATTTTCATACAATATCGAGGTAGGAATTAAATAAGGAAACAAACTGATGAAACAAAGCAGGCAGTGTACTGGACCATCGCAGCTTGCATAAGAACACGTATGCCTCGTCTCCATTAGCTCGGTTGAGCCCAGCTGGGTCCAGTTGTGGTTGGTCTCCACTGCAGACTGGGACCAGTGAGGCTCAGCCAGCTGACTGTGGACAGACAGACCACAACGAGACTGAGCTCAGGCTAGTAGAGACGAGACATTTGACAAAACCACATGAAGGACTGAGAATCTGATTTCATGCTCAAAACGTATTATCATATCACAACTGGTAGCTCCAAAAATAGAACTATCTTCCATATTACAATGGTAATGAACATTATAAACCTTTTTTTCCAAACACAACCAAAAAAAGCTGATATGTGTTTACATCATATACATCTTTCTTCTGCTTAAAGTAAAGCATAAGTTTAAATTATGATAACTTGCCAAAGGAACTTTAAATGCATTACTATTAGTCATATGGTAGTAATTAACAGGGCAGTAAAATACATTTTAAATTCCAAAATAAATTAATAGTGATGGGAAGGGTGCAGTAGAAAGAGGAAATTAAAGTGATATCTTTTATAGATTATTTTAAAACTCACAGCATTTAGTTTGATTTGATAATAATTCCCCATATAATTATATCTTGTACCAGTCAAGTAACATATTTCTCTATATGACTCTGCTAAAACTACTCAGCTTGCTGCACATAACTGTGGCTGTAGAACAGCTCCATGGATATGCAACCTTGTAAAGAAACCATAAAGTGCTACAACGTACCATTATTCAGTGATTTGAACTCATTTGGATGAGATAACAAAAGTCATTGAGTTCTGACACTAATTCAATATTTGGCATGGCTGCTGGAACTTTACGGCCTGACATTAGTTATGAATAACATATTTTCCTTACAATCAATGATGAAAGCTAGATGATATACCTTTCCTATTATATATTCAATTTATAGGTTTTTCATTGCAATAAAAGTTTAAATCATAGTAAACCATTTCACAAGGTCAGTCAACAAAATGTCAAACACACATGCAAAAAAGGCATTTTGTTGTGGAAATATTGCTTCTATTTTCTAAGATGTAAACATTAGAACGTTACTCGAGAGTCGAATGAGAAACATACGTTACAATGTCGTATTTAAGACAATACGGTCCATCAGTGCAAACATTCTCAAGACCAAAGATTAATGAAAAATTAAATAACATTTTTATAATAAAATGACTGGTTACTTGAAGGATGTGTAATGTAATATCGACCCTTGGATAGAAGTGATAACCCTTTTCTAGTGATTATCTGTGTTTTAGAGATAATAAATGATGGTTTTAAGTGAATGTTTTTTTCCGTAATATACTGTATATAAAGGGATTTGAAAAATTTACCTTAAGCAAGAAGAAAATTTAAGATTATCTTCAGCGTCTATTGGCATTGTATTAACAAACTACAAGTTCTTCTTTTCATAGTTTTCAGTGGACTTATATATGTGGAATATATTTGGCTGTGTAAGCGGCTGGTGGAAGCAGCAGATTTAGTGTCAGCAGCATTTGACCGGCAGCTTCTGTTAATGTCGTGCGCTGACTGGGTGCTTTTAATGAAAGGTCCTTCGGTTGCTGAAGGCGCAGTGTGGGCTGCAAATGACTTTATCTGTTGGCTCTGTAAACAAAAGGCTCTACTTAAGGCTCTAATTAAAAGTCACTCTTTTGAGTCACGTTTAGAACTCCATCAAGTGACGCTGGAAAGTGAATCGATGCTTCACTTTAAAATTCTCACTACCGTAGTCCAACTGAGGTTCAGACTTCTGAACTGAGCAGCAATGCAAAGCCTCTAATACTGTCAGTGTGTGACTGCTGAAAGCTGGTTTCCCAACCTTTTTGGCTTGTGACCCCTTAAAACAAACCTGTCTATTTGTGACTGCTGGTCACCAGTGTGTAAAGTAGTTCAGACAAAAAGTAATTTGTTTTCTGCTTTTCGATTTCATTTGAGTCAGTTTTAGAAATCCAAATCATAAAATTATGCAGTAGGGGTTAACATTAGAGGGCTGAAAAACATCAGAAATATGTTGTTTCTGGTTTCCTGGCTTGTTAATCACCTCGTGCCCCACCAGATTTATCTTATGGCACTTAGGGGGGGTCGAGGCCCTCAGGTTGGGAACACTGGCTTCAAGTCCCTTATTGACGGAACCCCTAAAGAAGCCTTTCCACTTTTTAGCTAATTCCAGATCTAAATTTCTCAGGGTCTGAGGTTACTCAAAGAGGATATGTTTTCTTGCAGATTGGGTCCATGTGTTGGATGACACCCAATATTTTACAAAAAGAAACCAAAAACTTTTCAAATCAGTTTTCTTGAGGAAAAAGGAAACACTTGAAGCAGGCAAACGTGATCCAGTTGTTTCCTTGAGTTTGGAAGTTCATCTGTTTTCTGGCTGCTGAGTGATCTGAGAAATTTCTCTCCCTCTGGTCCCAGTGCTGTTCAGACAGGAAGTGCTTGTGTGCTCTCACACATAGGCTGTCTCACACACACTCTCACACCTACACACCTCACTCCAAATACTAAACCAAACACATTCGCACAAACACACACACACACTGAAATGACGATTTGGCTGCCACAGTCTCACTTTCTCTCTCCCGCTGATGATCAGCCATCTGAAGTTTTTGTTGTCAAACTTCTCGACTTCAGGCTTCAACAAAAGCAAGATTGTCTGACACAGTGCGTCCATGTTGACAATAACTTACTGTATTGCCACTGACTTTAATAAATACTCAGCTTTCTGCTGCTGTTGGCCAGGAGAGCCAGGCTGAAGGGCCCTTTGCTCTCCGTCTTTCCTGAGTGGTTAATCGCTACATCAGCGGCTGCAGCTGTTCAGTCGATGCGGTTACCACAGATTGTGAAACGGTCGATCTCCAGCAGGTCCTTTTTGGGAGTCCTGTGCTTCAGTTCAGAGGCTCCTTGCGCTTCGCCCTCCTCTTCTTTGGAGAGTGAAGGTGCAGGTTGTTCAGGTTCCGGTGGTGGAGTTGGGGGACGGCTAGCTGGAGAAGCAGGAGGACAGGCGTCAGTGGGCGAGGTAGGGAACAAGTCAGTCCTGGGAGCCGGCTGGGTGGTCACAGAGGAGGAGGGAGAACATGATGGTGGGCTGCAGGGTGTGGTAGTGATCTGCTCCACCTTGGATTCGCCTGTAAATAATGGGCAAAAAATTGATTTAATGACAAAAGACAAAACATATGGACGAGGCTGCTCAGTTTATCCATTCTTATTCAATGTCTACACTGCACGTGAGCAGAGCTTCAGTCCTCTATCTGTGTCAACACAGGATACATTCAGGCAGAGGTTTAAGTGTAGGTCACCTGTGATTACCAGCACTCAGAGCCCAACACGCGATCACTGTAGTTTTATGTGTAAAACAGAAGAAAAACGCTCTTGAAGTTTAAAAATATGTGACAGTGAACCATGATCTGGCTTTTGTAGACAGCTGAAATTATTAAAACAGAATCAGTCGGATGCACATCAATTGAAATATGCATCTGAAACACCTCCCATAGACAAGCTGTAACCTTTAACTGATATAATTAAGTTTTAGGAGTAAAATAACATTAGTTAATGGAACATTTTGGCATATATTATTCTCTTTTTTGCCAAGAGTTAAAAGAAAAGATTGACACCTCTCGTCTGTGGAGCTAGGGGAAACACTTGCTGCTTCTTGACGTCACCGTATGGTTGCCAAGCAACCAGTGGAGTCAACTTGTTGTGCACTTGTTTTTACATTTGTGTTACAGCTCATAGATTGAGCAAGAGACACGATATTAATTAGTACGTTTTTTGAGGTTAGCCTTAGGTGGAGGACTGAACTCTGAGCCTGGCTAGCAGTGTTAAATGTAACATTTACCTGATGCTCTATTTACTGGCATGTTTCATTCCAGACTTATGATGACTCCTAACGATCATATAGCACATATAGAAGTGTAAAAAACCAAAAGCACAAGTGAGATGGTGAGAAAGAATACGTTTCTTATAGATCATTTTGAGAAAGAAGAGGAAGAAGATGGAGTATGGGAGAGGGTGATGTGCTGTCTTCGAGCAAAAATTCTCAGCTTGCAGCAGAAGAAGCGAAGGTGTTCTGGCTTGAGTGATGGGGAGTGATTCAACCTGGTGGGTCCACAAGTCAGCCAGCATACACCCACCTGACTGCTCAGTTTGAAAGCAGCACAGAGGGAGAATAATGACGTGTAGCCAGAAAGGAAAGTTGACATGGAACACAAGCAAGCAAAGTTGCTTCTTAACTCCACTGCATTATGTTAAGAGAAAACACTGCAAAGCCTTTTCGTTTTGAGCACACAGTGCATCACATTAGGAAAGTCAACCAAACAGAATAATTCATCATATTAGAGAGAATTGAGCGAAGCAGCATTGGTTATTAACAAGGCCGTCCACAGAGACAACCAGCCAGCCCCGGGCTATCTGGCTACAACAAACTTCCAGTTGTAGACAGAGCTGAACCGACACTTTACTGTACAGAACCGCTGCAACCCACTGAGCATATAGAGAGTGTGTTTGAGTAAGGCATTACAGAGAATTTCAAATATGATAGCAGCCATGAAAACTGACATTGTAAGCCAACCGAAATATTAGAAAATGTCAGGTTTTGGTGGTGTATTACCTTTGGTTCTGCCTGAATAATTCAGTGGTGAATCAGAGAGGAGTTTATAATAAGGCATGCCTGTTGATAGTTGTAAATAAACAAGTGCACATTTTCTCACTTCTGCCAAGTAAATCTTTCTTTGCTTCAGTTTAACTTTAATTTCCTAATGCCAGAATCAGACTGACTTTTTTTGATATGGTCACTTTATCAGATCATAGAGTTATGCATTCTTGTTGAATGTCTTGTTTTTCAATACTGTAAATGTAAATGTGTGTATATATTCGAGCTACACCCCTTTAAGTTTTACACTTGGAG